CCAAAGCGAAGTCAGCTGCAGCTTGGTATAGCTGCAAACTCACATCACGAACTTGCTCGGCGATATCAGCACCTAACAAGTCTCTTGATTGACTATAGTCTATGTTTTCGTCATGTGCGCCAACAGAGGCTTTTGTTGAAGGGGTATATATTGGTTTTGGTAATTTATCGGCTAATTGCATGCCTTTGGGTAGCTCAATCCCACATACGGCGCCTGTTGCTTGGTAATCCTTCCAGCCAGAACCGATAATGTAACCGCGGACAATTGCTTCCACAGGCAGTGCTTTTAGCTTTTTAACGACCATTGCATGATTAGTTACTTCTGCTCTTTCTGCCGCGTCAGGCAATACATCTTCGAGTTTGGTATCACACATTTGATTGGGAATGATATGCGATAATTTGTTCATCCAGAATTGTGTTACATCATTAAGGATGATTCCTTTGCCTGTCACTGGTGTAGGCATAATGACATCAAATGCCGAGATTCTGTCTGTGGTAACAATCAACATGTAATTCTCGTCGATGTCGTAGATGTCTCTTACTTTGCCGTTGTGTAGTAAGGGTAATGATTTTATGTGGCTAGTGTGTAATGTCGCAGGCATGTTGGTAAACTTCTTATACTTGAGTTCTAGGCTTCTTGAATAAAGCTTTTAAAGGAAACATTTTACGCTAATGGTTGAAAATATGGGAAACAATAAAGGTACCCTTAACGTTATCCAGCATCTCGCATTTGAAGACTTGGGTAGCTTCGCGCCACTGTTAGAAGCGCGGGGGTATCAGGTTAATTATTTCCAGGCTGGATTTGATGATTTATCACAGATAAAAGCATTATCGGATGATTTGTTAGTTATTCTCGGTGGGCCAATTAGTGTCAATGATATCGAGATATTCCCCTTTTTATCGACTGAAATTGAAATATTGAAACAGCGTATTGCTGGCGATAAGCCTACGCTTGGTATTTGTCTGGGTGCGCAGTTAATAGCCAGTGCGTTGGGTGCAAAAATTTCTCCTGCTACGGAGAAAGAAATAGGCTGGTTCGATTTATCAATAAACC